CCCCGCCAGCCCCTGACCCGCTGCTGCTGCCCCGCCCCAGATACGCCGACCCCAGCGATCCGAGCCGGCTCTTTGCCATCAAGCATTTCAAGCCGACCCCCGACCTGGATGGCCTGTCGCAATCGGCATGCCGCGAAATCATGGTTTGTCCTCCCCGCCTTTGTGCCCTTTTCGCCGCCCCCCCCCCCCCCCCGCCCCCCCGGCACTGCCTCCTGCCGGCCTCCATATGCGCATGGACTAACCACGGACACTTGCTGCCCAGCTCTGCCGCGAGCTATCACACCCGAATGTCATTGCCCTGCGTGATATTTCGTCGGATTCGGTATACACGCGACCCAGCCCCAGCTCGGCCCCCGGCACCGGAGGCCGGGGGTCTTCGAGCGCGACGGCGGCAGCCACGGCCGCCGCTATGGCGGCCACAGCCGCCGCCGCGGCCACCAGCAAACGCGGCACGTCCACTTCGGCTGTCGCCGCCGCCGCCGCCGCCGCCGCCGCCGCCGCTCCTCGACCGCAGCAGCATGTTCACCTGGTTTTGGACTATGCCGAGCATGATTTGCTCCAGGTTCTTGAATGCCATCGGAATGCCGCTGCCAAGCCTCCCGCCGGGTCGGCCCCCTCGCCCGGGGTCCAGTCGACCGGGATCCCCCTGCCGCCGCAGATGATCAAGTCCATCCTCTGGCAGATTCTCAATGGCGTGGCGTACCTCCACTCCCAGTGGGTCCTCCACCGGGATCTGAAGCCGGCCAACATCCTGATCATGGGCGAGGGCCGGGAGATTGGCACGGTGAAAATCGGTGCGCATGGCCACACCTGCCGGCCGGGGGGGGGGGGGGGGGTACCTCCTCGCTGGGATCCCTGTCTGCCCTTTGCTTTTGCCCCTCCGACCCCGCTCGGTCTCTGACAAAAGAGCCCCGTCCTCCGCTCCCGGAACCAGCCGACCTTGGCCTCGCACGCGTCTTCCGGTCACCTCTGCACTCTCTGGTGCAGGCTGACCGAGTGGTGGTCACCATTTGGTATCGAGCGCCGGAGCTGCTCCTTGGCGCCAAGCACTACACGAAGGCCGTCGGTGCGTGTATCCCCCTCGCTCCTCGCTCCCTCCCCCCTCCTCTCCCACACACACACACACACACACA